GTAGGGTGTAGGGGTAGTGTGTAGGGGTAGGGTGTAGGGGTAGGGGTGTAGGGTGTAGGGCTATTCAATTACACATTCAGTTGGACCAGATTTTATAACTACAACATTCAGCGGCCTGTAAAAAGCGGGTAATGACACATTTTAAACCAACACATATTACTGCGATGAAACACATGCCATTTGTATTCATTGTTACAAAGGTACGTCAAAAAGTGCATAAAAACACAACAAATTAGCATTAATTTAACAGAATCTGAGGATTCTCAAAGTGCATAAAAGTGCACAGTTACATAGCGTTACATTTGTTTGAACCAGGCACATCACAAAGTGCATTTAACTGAATACAATAATAGCAGTCTTAACAAATGTCCTCACATACAAAATGAAATTGGATACATATGACGCACATCAAAAAGTGCATTAACAACCAGCTAAAGAGCTCCAATGTAACACAAAGAGGCAGTACTGTAACCATACTATGTTTTCAAGACATTGGTGAAGAGTGCTGTCAGTCAGGGAGCAGCGAGTGCTAATTTGGTTGAATGCATGTGTGAAAAACTTGACTCACATTTGTATGCTCCCTTCACTGGCTTCCGGTAACTGCTAGAATCCACTTCAAGACAATGGTACTTGCTTACCGTGCTGCGAATGGATCTGGCCCTTCCTACATCCAGGACATGGTTAAACCGTACACCCCAGCACGTGCACTCCGCTCTGCATCAGCCAAACGGCTCGCTGCACCCGCACTGCGAGGGAGACCCAAGTTCCCATCGGCGAAAACACGTGGGTTTGCTATCCTGGCTCCAAGATGGTGGAATGAGCTCCCCATTGACATCAGGACAGCAGATAGCTTACACACCTTCCGGCGCAGACTGAAAACTCATCTCTTTCGACTCCACTTCGAGCGATAGAACTATTAACAAAGCACTTATATACTAATAAAGGACTGGCTTATCTAAAGCCAGTTGAGTAGCACTTGAAATGTTTGGCTCTATGAAACCTGATTTATATGATTCTATTTTCTTCAAGGTTGTGTCTTCCTGGTCGAATGTACTTATTGTAAGTCGCTTTGGATAAAAGCGTCAGCTAAATGTAATGTAATGTAATGTAATGCTGATGTATGTTGATCCAAACATACTGAGCACACAGATCGCTACTTTCTGAGTGAAGGGAACTGCTGTTTGTTGACATCACTCCAAAACTTCGCTGGCCCGTTAGTGCGCTGCTCTTGTACCATGGTTACGGATGAATGCATGTCAATAAGCTCCAGTATAATTGTCCCCTCGTCGATGCAGGGGACCACTTCCTTTACTCTGGTGGATACGCCCCCCTCTATTGCAACAGTGAAGGGGTCTCTGGCATCACCTCTGTGGGCAGAGCAAGTCCTCCAATCGACCGGCAAAGTTCTCTTTCAACCTCGCAATGAAATCTGTCATCACATCCGTGATTTGTGCTGGGGATGTGATGTGTTTGGGGAGCGTCGGAAAACGCAGCATCCGACCCGTACTCAAGTCGGTCGCGAAAAGTCCAGTTTGCGTGCATCTGCTCCACAAGATCAATGACCGTGTTGTCTCTGTTTACGCTTCAGAGTTGAGAGAGACATGTTTTAGAGTTGCTATCATAGGACCACCATTACTAGCACCACTAGATGCACTTTCAAAAAACGTTTCTATGCAATGCGGAGTGTTGCGTTAATGGTCTGAACTAGTGTAGGAATTTTGCCACGGCATGCTGGACCACTCGGGAGTTGGTTCTGGGCCGCATCTGGCCCGCGGGCCGCCATTTGAATAGGCCTGGTGTAGGGGGTGGTTTGGGATTGGGCCTAAATGTGTTAAAAATGTTGTTTCTAAGTGACTTCCTGTCCCCACAGGTTCCTCTTCCTGCTGCTCGGCCCGTTTGGAAAAGGTTCGCAGTACCACGAGATCGGGCGCTCCATCGCCACGTTGATGACAGACGAGGTGAGATGTTGCATAATATAATTGTATACTTTAAATACTAACATAAAGCACCTATAACCCGTCTGAATATACAACCATTTCCTGTCACATCTTCCTACTCCAGTCCTACCTCACTGAACGATCCCACTTAATCTCCATCCCAAACCACTCCTCTGCCACAGCTTCAGTCACCCAAGGCGTTCCTCAAGGATCAGTACTTGGCCCCCTCCTCTTCATCATTTACATCCTCCCCCTCGGTCAGATACTCCGCCACTTCAACCTCGACTTCCACTGCTATGCTGATGACACTCAGATCTACATCAGCACCAAATCCTCCATGACCACCCCTTACCCACATCGATTCCTGTCTGACAGCTATTAAAACTTGGATGCAACATAACCTCCTCAAACTGAACAGCAACAAAACAGAACTCCTCCTAATCGGCTCCAAATCCACCCTCAGCAAGGTCACTAACATAACTCTCACCATCGATGGCACCATTGTTTCCCCCTCCAATCAGGCACGCAACCTTGGCGTAATCTTTGACCCCACCCTCTCCTTCGAACCTCACATCCGCCAAACAGTCAAAACCTAATTTTCCCACCTCCGCAATATTGCAAAAATTCTACCCTCTCTCACCCGCCCCGCAGCCGAACGACTAATCCATGCCATCATTTCCTCCCGCCTTGACTACTGCAGCTCACTTCTTTACGGCATCAGCACTACATCCCTCAACAGACTCCAACGGGTTCAAAATGCAGCTGCACGTCTCCTCACGCATACCAAATCATGGCATCACATCACCCCAGTCCTCAAAGACCTCCATCGGCTTCCTGTCTCCCATCGCATCAACTACAAAGTTCTGGTCCTCACCTACAAAGCCCCTCCACCATCTGGCCCCCCCTTATCTCACAAACCTTCTCACTCCTTATCAACCTCCACGGTCCCTCAGATCCACCGCAGCCGGACTCCTATCCATTCCCACATCCACACTCTGCAGCTTTGGGGACAGAGCCTTCTCAGTGGCAGCTCCTAGGCTCTGGAATTCCCTCCCCCAAGATCTCCGTGACACTGAGTCCCTCACAGTCTTTCAGTCCCGCCTCAAAACACATCTTTTCAACTCTGTCTACCCATAAGCCCCCCCCCCTCTCAATCAACTTCCTCTTGACTGCCTTTTTATTTTTTACTTACTTGTTTGCCTGTCCTTGTTTGTCTACCCTCCCTCATACTGTAAAGCGTCTTTGAGTTGTGAAAAGCGCTATATAAATAAAATGCATTATTATTATTATTATTATTACTACTTAAAGGAATGCTCCACTCATTAGATAATTAATCAAAACTTCAGTATTTAGTGAAACATTATGTTTAAACCATACCCTGAAGAAATCAGCGATAGTCCCCGGTAAATAATGATTTTATAGCTCTTTTTTATCAAAACCTGTATATTCCGTCAGGCCGCTGCCATTTTGCCCATTTTCAGTAGTCACGTGATGGTCGTGACGTCATCCATGCGTTCACTTTGTAAACACACGAAAACATGGAGTATTTGAGTTCGGACTCGTCAGCCGAGGAAGAAGTTTTGAGCAATATGAAGAGATTGGATGGGGGAATTCAGCCATACAGGTTCGAGCCTACTTAGTACTACTTAGTAGATACAATGATTTTGATTACTAGATATGTATGCATGTAGTACCACCCTTGCTAGCGATTCCCTCTCTAGTTTAGCATACTCAGCCTCGTTGTCCCTGGCCCTAGAACCACGATTTTATGGGGCCGGAAAAACTGGGGGGAAATACCCACTAGCCGGTACTACGCTATATGGAAAGGCCACCAAAAACTGGCCTGGCCTGGACGATAAAGGACGTTTAAACAGGGCTACCCGCTGCAATGGAAATGCGCTATAACATACCGTATTCTTACTCCGAGCACTACTTTTGGTCCTCCGTCGCTTCACACTTGCAGAAGGCGATTTCTCAACTGGCCGAACTGGTGTCCTGGTCGGTGATGACACCAGAAAGACCGATGGTACTGCATCTCCATTAAGTAATGGTTGTTCAATAAATCCCATGTTATGTTTTATCATACTCTCAGAGTAGTCGTCCGGAAACTTGAAATGTTCGCTGCATACATGCGCCTGTGGATCTTTCGGTTCGGGCCGGCCACATTTCGCTAGCCACTGCCTCCGAACGTACTTCCTACGCTTACCTTTTGGCAACAGATGGAACCGAGCATTCCGTGGATTGTTCCTATCCGAATTGTGGCAATGTTTCGCGATACAATGAGGCATATTTGAAGAGAGTAACTACAGTAAATAACATGAACATCAACGTGTCCTCGAAACCAAACGCATGGTTTACGTCACGTCCGGTATAAAATGGCGCCGCCCACAGTGTTGATGTTATTTCGGTAATTAATCAGTTTAAAATCACTGATAATGTCATCGGATTAAAAAAAAAAAAAAAAGACTGGCAGAGACTGGTCTGTTTTATCGGATGATAATTATTTAAAAATGAGTGTCATGAGCATACCATTCCTTTAAGCATTGCTTTTCTCGGTTAAATGTAAATGACATGCTTTATTATATATATATTAATTATATATAATGTCACTGTAACTTTATTTTCTAACAGTTTAAATTCACGCCTAGCTCCTAAATGTTCTCAGACCGAAGGGTTGACCATTTTCAGGCGATCATCATATTGATCTTAGGTTTGAAATCACCATGTTTGCAAGTTTCGCCCGTCTTCAATGGCCTGTAATGTAAACTCTAGCTGAGACCTCCCCCCCCCCCCCCTTCTGTCTCTCCTGTAACAGACTCAGATCTTTGAACTACATCAGTGCTGCAGGTTATCTGTCCTTCAGCTGGAATTAGATTGATTCTGTTAAATGCTATAACCCTCTATTAAATAACACAACTTTGGTTTAAACTTGTATTTGTTCATTTCTTACCAGAAGGTGATTAAGTGAGTGATTTGCACCACATGCAGGATGTTGCACACGTTCACGTCTCTCTGTGTCTCTGCTAGATCTTCCACGACGTTGCCTACAAGGCGAAGGACCGGACGGACCTGCTGTCGGGGATCGATGAGTTCTTGGATCAGGTGACCGTCCTCCCGCCGGGGGAATGGGACCCCAGCATCCGCATCGAGCCCCCGAAGAGCGTCCCCTCCCAGGTGAGACCGGTGTCTTCCCATTTCGCCCCTTTTTTACATTAGGCCACATACGAAAATATACTTGTTTGCTTGGTCGTGCGTGCGTGCGTGCGTGCGTGCGTGCGTGCGTGCGTGCGTGCGTGCGTGCGTGCGTGCGTGCGTGGCTCGTCCCAATGGAATCAGTAAAAGACCTTAAATGAGAAGGGGATCTAAAATGGTTAACTTAAGAGTGATTCCAGTTCTGTTAGTTCAAACCATGCATTAAATACATTTACACTTACAAAGTGAAAGTGCAAGTATTAAAACAAAAGTGCAATAATAAAAGGCGGGCACACCGGGTTAGTAAAATCGTATAAAATGAACTAGATGTCACTGGAAAATAAAAACCACTAAGATCAAGGTCAGGTAAGTTTCAAAGATTCCAAAGGACAGGTATTTTTTGCTCTGTTTATTTTAATAAAAAGGTGAAGGGTTTCTCTCTGCGGGTGGTTTTCTGGCCTCCAGGTAATAAAATAAATAAATAAAAGGATCGCCCCTCATGTGGCTTTGATTATGATCAAATTAGGATTAGAGTTTATAGATCTAATGATGCATCCCATGGAGCATTGCATGAAGTCTGTTGACGAATCAGAGGCTGTTGTTGGGGCTGCATGGGAAGGGGCGAAAGGGGAATAAACCGGTGAGACCGCATTCAATTCAAACTCATCTCTGAACCCCACCATGATCTGAACACAGAATATTCATTGGTACCGTCGAGTCGGAGATACAGGGTCCCACGAAGTCAGACTGAAGCTCTCCTGTGTGCACCGGTCAATCCTCACGTTAAAAACAGAGTTAAATCCCAGATCTAATGTATGTTAGAGGGTCTTGAACATGTGTCTCTTCAGTGATCGTGATGTTATCTCAAATATCTGTTTCCCTTGAACTGTGTTTTAATATTTGTCCTTGTTTGATGTTGCAAATGGAGCTGCTGTGATGCAAGTACAATCAGACTTGATCTGACATTCATTACTCGGACAAATAAGGCCTTAAATGGTATCAACATGTGTTAACTTAATCAACTTCGATATGGTAAGTTAATATTAAAATCATGGGTAGTTCTTTAAAGGACACATAGACGGAAGAAACGTTTGTTTTTTCCGGTAGGTTATTTGCCAAAGCTGGACACTAATTATGGCATTTAGGTTACCAGATGTAGGCCTTTTTCATTTAATAGTAAGGCCAACTTCTCAGACTGCATATCGACGTATTTTACTGCCAATCACAGGAGTGTTGTGTATTATAAGTGTTTAGAAATGAAGGCAACATGACTACGGAAGGCCTGTCACTCATGATTCCAAGCCCCTCTCTGCTAAGCCCCGCCCTCCACGCAACATCACGGCGAAAAGTCTAAAAGCGAGAAAAAGTTGAATCTGAAAGCATAAAATCTGCATGTGAAAAAAAGCACGACTCAAGTATCAAAATATAAATAAAAGTGAAAAAATATGATTTAATCAAAGAAATTGCTAAACGGATTTGTTTATGTTTAACCTGAAAAAACGTTTCAAACTTGTTTTAGTTTGAATTCATCACCAGACCAGAACATTGTAGAATACTCTGTGATAAATCAAATGGGTTCTTCTTGTAAATTACAGAAAGCTGAGCATATTCAATATCAACTTTAAATCTCTTCCTGCAGGAGAAGAGGAAGTTGCCGTCGGTGCAGAATGGCTCCGCCCACAACTGTGACATCATCAAGGAGTCGGAGCATCAGGCGGGGCCAGAGCTGCAGAGGACGGGCCGGTGTGCAACCAACACCTTTTAACACATCTATAGCCTATGTACTCTATGTAGTTTAAAAATGACAGAAAAGCATAAACATACCGCCTATGATTTATGTATGTTTAAGTGTTAATATTACAAAGAACCAAAAATAATAATTTTGCAGTAAAATATTTGTATACAACCATCTGTTTCATATACTAGACATGATAAAGGTCTCCTATCATGCAAAATATATTTTCTACATCACCATATGTCCCCGGTGTGTCCCCGGTGTGTCCCCGGTGTGTCCCCGGTGTGTCCCCGGCGTGTCCCCGGTGTGTCAGGAGACTCTCAAAGTGTCAGAAAATAAACCCCTCTCTCTTTTCCTCCGTACCCACATCTCTAAAAACGGGGGAACAACGGAGCTGATCCAGATTGGCGTCCGATATGACGTAATATCTGAAATGTGGGCGGGCTTTAGACCCACGGGCCAATCAGAAACGTTGCTGTCAGAAACAATGAGACGTGTTCTGGAAGTAATATGGTCTGTGTTTACATTAGCATGCTAACACTCAGAGCTAACCTGTACTGGAGAGAGTGTGTGAAGAAGCAGGAAATCAAAAGGAAGTCACCTTGTGGTAAACCTGAGAGAGAAAGAGTTTGAGCTCCATCCTGTTTCAGAGAGAATCCTTGATGTGGTTTGGAACATGATGTGGAGTTTCATCACGGCAGCATTTAGCTGAGTTTCTGCTGGGAGAGTTCTGAGCAGGCATTAGCCCCCCCACTTATTTATTTTTTATAGCAATGAAAAAACCTGGTTGTGGTTTGTTCTACCTCGAGTAGGGGTACCTCAACTTTTAGGGTCCTCTGCTGTTAGTCTTTTTACACTTCAGTTATCCCGCAGTAACAGAGTTTTTTTTAAAGCCTTCCTCTCCTCGTCTGCAGGGCTTTCGGGGGTTTGGTGAACGACGTCCGCAGGAAGATCCCGTTCCTGTGGAGCGACGTGCGGGACGCCGTCAGCCTGCAGTGCGTCGCCTCCGTCCTCTTCCTGTACTGCGCCTGCATGTCGCCCGTCATCGCCTTCGGGGGGCTGCTGGGGGAGGCCACCAAGGGGAACATCGTAAGAACACACTCTACCCACCTCGTCTCTACATCAACATGTGTCCCCTCTTCTTCATGTCTCTTCTACATCAACATGTGTCCCCTCTTCTTCATGTCTCTTCTACATCAACATGTGTCCCCTCTTCTTCATGTCTCTTCTACATCAACATGTGTCCTCTCTTCTTCATGTCTCTTCTACATCAACATGTGTCCCCTCTTCTTCATGTCTCTTCTATATCAACATGTGTCCCCTCTTCTTCATGTCTCTTCTACATCAACATGTGTCCCCTCTTCTTCATGTCTCTTCTTCATCAACATGTGTCTCCCTCTTCTTCATGTCTCTTCTACATCAACATGTGTCTCCTCTTCTTCATGTCTCTTCTACATCAACATGTGTCCCCTCTTCTTCATGTCTCTTCTACATCAACATGTGTCTCCTCTTCTTCATGTCTCTGCTACATCAACATGTGTCCCCTCTTCTTCATGTCTCTTCTACATCAACATGTGTCCCCTCTTCTCCATGTCTCTTCTACATCAACATGTGTCCCCTCTTCTTCATGTCTCTTCTACATCAACATGTGCCCCTCTCTTCATGTCTCTTCTACATCAACATGTGTCCCCTCTTCTTCATGTCTCTTCTACATCAACATGTGTCCTCTCTTCTTCATGTCTCTTCTACATCAACATGTGTCCCCTCTTCTTCATGTCTCTTCTACATCAACATGTGTCCCCTCTTCTTCATGTCTCTTCTACATCAACATGTGTCCCCTCTCTTCATGTCTTTTCTTCATCAACATGTGTCCCCTCTTCTTCATGTCTCTTCTACATCAACATGTGTCCCCTCTTCTTCATGTCTCTTCTACATCAACATGTGTCCCCTCTTCTTAATGTCTCTTCTACATCAACATGTGTCCCCTCTTCTTCATGTCTCTTCTACATCAACATGTGTCCCCTCTTCTTCATGTCTCTTCTACATCAACATGTGTCCCCTCTGTGGAAAGAGACTCTGAAAGTTTCAGGAACAAAGATTCTCTCTCTTTTTGATCCATTTCTATAAAAACCTGTCTGAAAATGAGCTGATCAGATTTTGGTCACTTTATGATGTCATAACGATGTTTTGGCTTCTGTAGCCATTAGCCAATCAGCAACCAAGGTAGGTTCATTTATATCTGAAAGGCTCATTAAAGCAGTTTAATACTATATTTTATATAAAGCACAAGGTACTGTGATGTTACTCGGAGCGCTCAGCCTTCAAACGGAAACCATTTTTTGAAGCCAAAGTAAATAAATCATATTAATAATCGTAACCGTTCGATGTTTTGTCCACTACTCGCTAGAGAAATCGAGGGGCAGCCCGAGTAAAAACTGTAACTAACAGATATGAAACCGTGAAACTCCCCCACTTCATTACTGACATTAACAGTTCTTTTTTATATTACAAGTTCTCTGACATGTTATGTTTACATATGCAAATGAGGCGTTATGTCATGCTAACTGTTCCTGAATTTAGGATAAATCTGCAGACACAAACACAGTTAGTGAGATAAACTCCTGGATGTGGATTTAGTTATTTCCTTTCCACTAATGTGAAAGAAGACATGTTAAGAAGCATGAGGTGTTTTTAAAGGAGCAACATTAATATCTCTCTCTGTCTCTGGTAGAGTGCCATAGAGTCTCTGTTCGGCGCGTCGATGACCGGCGTGGCGTACTCTCTGTTCGCCGGGCAGCCGCTCACCATCCTGGGCAGCACCGGCCCAGTTCTGGTCTTTGAGAAGATCCTCTTCACTTTCTGCAGGTGAGGAGGGAACACCTGTACATACACCTGCACATAGATAGTCCTCCTATAATAATAGACCACTTCAGGATGATGCATTTCAAATGACTGGATGATTTCACTCACAATATCCCAGAGAGAAGTGGTTAATAAGATCGGTGGGAGACGAGCAAAGGGATATTTGTGTTTGCGGGGTTGTAACAAACTGATAATTAATAGTGTGACTAAAACAGTGGCGGCCGGCCCATAGGGGCTTAAAGCGAGCTCCGCGCTGCAGTGGAAACGCGCCATTACATCACCAGAAGTCCTAATTTAAGGGGTCATTTCTCCCAAAAAAAATGGTTTTACTCACTATATCAACAGCCCCACCAAAACTATTTTCCACCAGCCGCCACTGGACTAAAATAGACTTTGTGAAGAAGACATCCTGCGCTTTTATTTTCCTTCCATTGACTCGTGAAAAACCTGAACAAAATCATGGAAAGATTCCCACCGCTACGAGACTAATATTTAAGACGGAGCCACAAAAACACTGAGTCCTTGGGTTTTAATGATTTAAACAAGCTTCTTTTTATTTCATTCATTTGTACATTAGATGTGAATGAATCAAGTCGTCTTAAAGGTTCCTCCAGGTCGTTTATAAGGCGCTCACTGGGGGAACAGCAGGAAGCCGCTGAAGGTGCTGTGGTGGTTGCTGTTGTCCCAGATCTGAGTGTTGGTCCACAGCATCATCTTCAGTCTGTCGCCCTCCTCCAGCATCAGGGCGGCGCCGTTGGACGCCGTGTCGCTGCCCTCGCCCCCCGGCTGCTCGTGGGCGATCAGCTTGATCTGGTTGTTGTTCTTGTAAAGCACGGCGCTCATGGGGAAGTTGGAGGGGGCGTTGGCGGTGAAGCGGATGTAGTAAACTCCACGAATCGGGGCCGTGAACACACCTGAAGGAAGGACAGGTTAATGAACACGAGACAAAATCACTGAAGCACAAAAATGCCCAAGTTCAGAATCCTTCATTTTACTTTTACAATATTATCAATAGTTTCATATATCAAAGTTAAAGAGTCCTCTCCTGCTGATGTTCAGGTGTATATCAGTATGTCATGTCTCTACTTTAAAGAGTCCTTTCCTGATGATGTTCAGGTGTATATCAGTATGTAGAGTCTCTACTTTAAAGAGTCCTCTTCTGCTGATGTTCAGGTGTATATCAGTATGTCATGTCTCTACTTTAAAGAGTCCTTTCCTGATGATGTTCAGGTGTATATCAGTATGTAGTGTCTCTACTTTAAAGAGTCCTCTCCTGCTGATGTTCAGGTGTATATCAGTATGTAGAGTCTCTACTTTAAAGAGTCCTCTCCAGCTGATGTTCAAATGTATATCAGTATGTCATGTCTCTACTTTAAAGAGTCCTTTCCTGATGATGTTCAGGTGTATATCAGTATGTAGAGTCTCTACTTTAAAGAGTCCTCTTCTGCTGATGTTCAGGTGTATATCAGTATGTCATGTCTCTACTTTAAAGAGTCCTTTCCTGATGATGTTCAGGTGTATATCAGTATGTAGTGTCTCTACTTTAAAGAGTCCTCTCCTGCTGATGTTCAGGTGTATATCAGTATGTAGAGTCTCTACTTTAAAGAGTCCTCTTCTGCTGATGTTCAGGTGTATATCAGTATGTAGAGTCTCTACTTTAAAGAGTCCTCTCCTGCTGATGTTCAGGTGTATATCAGTATGTAGTGTCTCTATTTTAAAGAGTCCTCTCCTGCGGATGTTCAGGTGTATATCAGTATGTAGTGTCTCGACTTTAAAGAGTCCTCTCCTGCTGATGTTCAGGTGTATATCAGTATGTAGTGTCTCTACTTTAAAGAGTCCTCTCCTGCTGATGTTCAGGTGTATATCAGTATGTAGTGTCTCGACTTTAAAGAGTCCTCTCCTGCTGATGTTCAGGTGTATATCAGTATGTAGTGTCTCTACTTTAAAGAGTCCTCTCCTGCAGATGTTCAGGTGTATATCAGTATGTAGTGGCTCTACTTTAAAGAGTCCTCTCCTGCTGATGTTCTGGTGTATATGTAATGTATCTACTTTAAAGAGTTCTCTCCTGCTCATGTTCAGGTGTATATCAGTATGTAGTGTCTCTACTTTAAAGAGTCCTCTCCTGCTGATGTTCAGGTGTATATCAGTATGTAGTGTCTCTACTTTAAAGAGTCCTCTCCTGCTGATGTTCAGGTGTATATCAGTGTGTAGTGTCTCTACTTTAAAGAGTCCTCTCCTGCTGATGTTCAGGTGTATATCAGTATGTAGTGTCTCTACTTTAAAGAGTCCTCTCCTGCTGGTGTTCAGGTGTATATCAGTGTGTAGTGTCTCTACTTTAAGAGTCCTCTCCTGCTGATGTTCAGGTGTATATCAGTCTGTAGTGTCTCTACTTTAAAGAGTCCTCTCCTGCTGATGTTCAGGTGTATATCAGTATGTAGTGTCTCTACTTTAAAGAGTCCTCTCCTGCTGATGTTCAGGTGTATATCAGTATGTAGTGTCTCTACTTTAAAGAGTCCTCTCCTGCTGATGTTCAGGTGTATATCAGTATGTAGTGTCTCTACTTTTAAAGAGTCCTCTCCTGCTGATGTTCAGGTGTATATCATTATGTAGTGTCTCTACTTTAAAGAGTCCTCTCCTGCTGATGTTCAGGTGTATATCAGTATGTAGTGTCTCTACTTTAAAGAGTTCTCTCCTGCTGATGTTCAGGTGTATATCAGTATGTAGTGTCTCTACTTTAAAGAGTCCTCTCCTGCTGATGTTCAGGTGTATATCAGTGTGTAGTATCTCTACTTTAAAGAGTCCTCTCCTGCTGATGTTCAGGTGTATATCAGTATGTAGTGTCTCTACTTTAAAGAGTCCTCTCCTGCTCATGTCCAGGTTCTGCTCTGATTGGTTAGCTGGAGTGTTGTTGCTCTTTCTGTGATGATAAACATGTAGTTTAATTACGATGCACGTGAACAGGTGTGATATATTTTCTCATCACTGACCGGTCTCAGAGTTGTACGCCTGTCCGATGTTTGTCATGACGTCTTTGTAGATGAGAGTTTTGCTTCCTGACGTCGCCTTCACGAGGCCGTTACCTCCGAGAGAGACGGCAAACGCCACCTTCGGTACATCTGGAGAAAAACCACAATAAATACACAAACAAATTAAAGATATCAAATACTTGCAAATGTTCTCTACGCACACTTTTAAAGTAAGCAGCAGTTATAATATGTTATGTATATACGTTTAAAACAATGTAATCACATGAGTTCAAATGTACGTTTATTTTTTATTTAAAACTGTGACCAACTACAGTATCTTCTTGTTTATTCCCCTACATTCAAAAGCATGTATTTTATAGTAAGAACAACGATAATACTCGTACAATAAAAATAACTTACTGTCCAGGGAAATATTTTTAGTATTTCTCACATTTTATGATATTCTCATAGTTTCAATCTCCACAGAAAGTGCAGAATATTTTGTGGCTTTTTCAAAGTAACAAATACGTTAATGTTGACTTTTTAAATGTAAAATTTGAGATGCAAAAATTACATTAAAACACCTATTCAAATGATAGATCTAATAAAATATAAACAAAAAACACTAAAACGAATTGAAAAACATTATTTTGTATGAGTTTTGGGGTTCCTTTTGATCAAATAAAACTATTTGAATTGGAGTTGGGTTGATATATCGCCCATTTAAATGATGATACTTACAAAGATTTAAAAAGTAGTTTCATCATTGTGTAATAGCTCATAATATCCACAAGAGGGCGATCCTCCATAAAAGTTACCACCCAGTTAACAGTGCCAAGGAGGGGCGCTTGTTTTGTGCATCAGTGAAACTATATGTCCACTAAAATGTCTTGCTGCTATATAACCCTAACAATTATAGCAGTCATTTAGTTTTCTGTCTACAACTTTTTTTAAATCACATTAATATAATTACTTTAAGGAGTTACTGACCTCTCATCGTCTTCAGCTCGCTCTCTGTGCTGTTCAGTCTCTCTAGGATGCCTACAAAAACAACAATTCATTCTTAGTATCCAACGTACAACATGAGGGTCGTGTGAAAGCAAACACATTGTGAGTTGAGTTGTACCTCTGTTTTCTGCCTGAAGCTGCATCAGAGAAACCTCAAGGGTCTTCATCTCGGCTTCAGCGTCAAACTCTTTTGGAGGTTCGTCCACCCTTTAACACAAAGACACAAAAACAAGTGTCTCCCTTTAGTAGCTAGTCCCCACTTTAGCACAAATACAAAAACAAGTGTCCACCTTTAGAAGATAGTCCCCACTTTAACACAAAGACAGAAACAAGTGTCTCCCTTTAGAAGGTAGTCCCCACTTTAACACAAAGACAGAAACAAGTGTCCACCTTTAGAAAATAGTCCCCACTTTAACACAAAGACCAAAACAAGTGTCCACCTTTAGAAGGTAGTCCCCACTTTAACACAAAGACAGAAACAAGTGTCCACCTTTAGAAGCTAGTCCCCACTTTAGCAAAAAGACAGAAACAAGTGTCCACTTTTAGAAGATAGTCCCCACTTTAACACAAAGACAGAAACAAGTGTCCACCTTTAGAAGGTAGTCCCCACTTTAGCAAAAAGACAGAAACAAGTGTCCACTTTTAGAAGATAGTCCCCCACTTTAACACAAAGACAGAACCAAGTGTCCACCTTTAGAAGGTTGTCCCCACTTTAGCAAAAAGACAGAAACAAGTGTCCACCTTTAGAAGATAGTCCCCCATTTTAACACAAAGACAGAAACAAGTGTCCACCTTTAGAAGATAGTCCCCCACTTTAACACAAAGACAGAAACAAGTGTCCACCTTTAGAAGGTAGTCCCCACTTTAACACAAAGACAGAAACAAGTGTCCACTTTTAGAAGATAGTCCCCACTTTAACACAAAGACCAAAACAAGTGTCCACTTTTAGAAGGTAGTCCCCACTTTAACACAAAGACAAAAACAAGTGTCCACCTTTAGAAGGTAGTCCCCACTTTAACACAAAGACAAAAACAAGTGTCCACCTTTAGAAGGTAGTCCCCACTTTAACACAAAGACCAAAACAAGTATCCACCTTTAGAAGGTAGTCCCCACTTTAACACAAAGACAGAAACAAGTGTCCACTTTTAGAAGATAGTCCCCCACTTTAACACAAAGACAGAAACAAGTGTCCACCTTTAGAAGGTAGTCCCCACTTTAACACAAAGACCAAAACAAGTGTCCACTTTTAGAAGATAGTCCCCACTTTAACACAAAGACCAAAACAAGTGTCCACTTTTAGAAGGTAGTCCCCACTTTAACACAAAGACAAAAACAAGTGTCCACCTTTAGAAGGTAGTCCCCACTTTAACACAAAGGCCAAAACAAGTGTCCACTTTTAGAAGGTAGTCCCCAGTTTAACACAAAGACAAAAACAAGTGTCCACCTTTAGAAGGTAGTCCCCACTTTAACACAAAGACCAAAACAAGTGTCCACTTTTAGAAGATAGTCCCCACTTTAACACAAAGACCAAAACAAGTGTCCACCTTTAGAAGGTAGTCCCCACTTTAACACAAAGACAGAAACAAGTGTCCACCTTTAGAAGATAGTCCCCCACTTTAACACAAAGACAGAAACAAGTGTCCACCTTTAGAAGGTAGTCCCCACTTTAACACAAAGACCAAAACAAGTGTCCACTTTTAGAAGATAGTCCCCACTTTAACACAAAGACAGAAACAAGTGTCCACTTTTAGAAGGTAGTCCCCACTTTAACACAAAGACAAAAACAAGTGTCCACCTTTAGAAGGTAGTCCCCACTTTAACACAAAGACAGAAACAAGTGTCCACCTTTAGAAGGTAGTCCCCACTTTAACACAAAGACAGAAACAAGTGTCCACCTTTAGAAGGTAGTCCCCACTTTAACACAAAGACAAAAACAAGTGTCCACCTTTAGAAGGTAGTCCCCACTTTAACAGAAAGACAGAAACAAGTGTCCACCTTTAGAAGGTAGTCCCCACTTTAACACAAAGGCAAAAACAAGTGTCCACTTTTAGCAGGTATTCCCCACTTCAATACAGCTGTCAACGCAGTCCGCCTTTACTGTTATTCTGAGCAGTGGTGCAGAGAAAAATCAGTGACGTAATTGGTGAATTCATGACGTGGCACCACTTGGTGGAAAGCGAAACAAGGTCTCTAGAGCTAACTACTAAGAACCAAACAAGCACCAACTGGTTTTCAGTGAAAAGGGGTGTAGCAGAGAGTGTAGAAACACAGGCGTGGTGCTCACATTGAGAACAGCAGGAAGCCGCTGAAGGTGCTGTGGTGGTTACTGTTGTCCCAGATCTGAGTGTTGGTCCACAGCACCATCTTCAGTCTGTCGCCCTCCTCCAGCATCAGGGCGGCGCCGTTGGACGCCGTGTCGCTGCCCTCGCCCCCCGGCTGCTCGTGGGCGATCAGCTCGATCTTGTTGTCGTTCTTGTAAAGCACGGCGCTCATGGGGAAGTTGGAGGGGGCGTTGGCGGTGAAGCGGATGTAGTAAACTCCACGAATCGGCGCCGTGAACTCACCTGCAGGAGGAAGTTTTAGACCGAGCACGTGGGAGGCAGCTTCATTACCTGAGAGCACGTCCGGCTGTCTTTGGTTTGTAAAACTTCACACATAGAAGTTAAAACTGAAGGACGAGTATTTTGCGAAAGGCTGGGTAAAATATCTAACATATAGATGTAAAAAAATGTATAGCAATGTTGTTGTTTTTACTATACAAAATGGACCTTGTGCGTTACACTAATTATTGGTTATCTAATTAAAACACATTATTGAACTCACTCTGTGTTTGATTTTCTGGTAATTAAACATGAATTGATCAGTTTTTAATAGATTTTTAAATATTTCAGAACTCAGTGTCTGAAACTTGAAAGGCATATGTTAATAAAAAAAAATATCCTGTCAATTCTGCTTGTATTAATATAATAATTAAACACAATACTTAATATTCTGCGGCTCGTCCGTGTTTTAAATCCGTAAATAAGTAAGTAAAAAGATTGATCTAGTAATACAATGAGCAGTATTTTATTTCACTGTACAGCATTTCATTGTATAAGTAACTTCTCCTGCATTACCTGCACATTAGTCAACATTTGTTTTAATGGCTTATATATATTTATGTTGCATTGTTGGAGGAGCCTGTGACTTAAGATTGATATGGCAATAAAGCCTTTTGAACTTTCGAACCTTAATCAAGTTCTTTGTTGAAGCTTTGATGCAAATTCAGTTTAGATTTCCACTTCCTCTCAATGGCAGCTTGTTGATTGTGTCTCACCTGTGTTGGTGTTGTAAGCCCCCCCGACATTGGTCAGCAGCTCCGTGTAGACGAGGTTTTTGTTTCCACTCGTCGCCTTCACGAGGCCGTTTCCTCCCAGCGAGGCAGCGAACGCAACTTTAGGGGTTTCTGCACAGAAGACATTCCTCTAGTCTGCCATACAAGACTTTTATACACACACATTTGTTCACCAAATCTATACAAATCTAAAGATCATTTCACTCTTATCCTTTTGCGAGGCATCTCTTAAAGTTTTCTCACCTTTCACTCTCTTCAGTTCCCTCTCAGCCATGTCCAGACGCAAGCTCATCTCTGCAAACAATTTAAAATGTTATTTCAGGCGATATTTATGACCTAAAAGTCGTATTTATTTCTCCTGAAAGACGATAGTAGTCCTTAATTTCGATACACATGCTTTCAAACTTTTTGGATGGATATATTATAGGTAGACATACTACTATTTCTTCTCACCTGATTAATTTAACAAAAATACATTCAATGTTTTAATTAAAGCTTAAACAGCATTTGTAAACTCTTCCTGTTCCTACACTTTCTATATACAAATATCTTGTTTTCTAAGGTCACATTTCTACATACACTTCAGTAAAAAACATCTTATTGTTATTTATTTTCTCTTGTTTTTAAAAGCCAGCTGGATCTCAGGGACAAACAACAAGAGTGACCCGGTGAGATATGTGAGGTCCAAACTATTAAAAGCTTTATAAACCGTTACAATATGTTTTTAATCAATTCTAAAGGACACTGGGAGCCAATGCAATGCAGCTCAAACTAACTAATCTCTTTCTGTTTCATTTTATACTCAGATTAGGTCACTGATTACACTTTTTGACATGTGACTAGTTACTGTAAGGCAGCGGGTCCCAACCTTTTTCAACTCAGGCCCCACTTAAGAATCTAAAAGATGTTTGCGTCCCACATTCAACCATAAACAATACGGAGGCTAAATACAGTTCTGATTGGTCGATTCAGAACATGTGACACGTTGTTAATCCAGCAGAACAGACCAAGGACAAGGTCAAGGACTGTAATGAACGTTGCTAAGGACTGTAATGACCGTTGCTAAGGAGGATCAAGAAAGAGAAAGGAAAGGAGGTTCCAATACAAAAAAAATCTTAATAATGAAAATGTTTCCACACAAATGACAATGTTTTGCAAGTTATTTGGCGGCCCACTTGCAATGCCCTCAGGTTGGGAACCGCTGGTCTAAGGGATTAGTTTTAAAGTCAAACCCTGGCGGTCTCACCTCGCCTCTCGACCTGCAGATCCTGCAGAGCGGCTTGAAGCTTCTTCAGATCCACTGGCTGAGCCGAGCCGAGCTGAACCAGGCCGAGCAGAACCAGCAGGAGAACCGGAGCCATGATGAGAGGGGAGACAGGATGTGAGACAGGAGGGGAGACAGGGGGAGAGAGGAGGCGCTGCCCTTTATAGACTTGCTGTCTGTGGGCGACGGCCTCCTACTGACTGAAGTCTCATAGATTATTTGTTGGGAATGCTGAGTGAGTGTTCCCAACAGAGGCGGTTCTAAGGGGGAGCCAACAGGGGCCAGTACCCCCTAACACTGACCAGGGCCCCGCCCCCCCCCGTGGCCCCCCTCCAAAAAAAGTTTACAATTATATGATTTATTGGAACTAAATCTAACCAGAGACCCGGATGTACAGTGGAGATTAAACAGAAAAAACGAATTCTCCAAATGAAAGAAAAAAAAACTACTGAAACAAAGAACTGTAACTTAAATGTAATAAAACAAATTCCTTTACAAAAACAAATACCAACTACTGTATTTCATGTTTATTTTACACAATTACCTTATACTGTCTTTGTCTTTTTGACCTGTCCCTCTCATGAAATAAGCGGCCCCTGCCTGGCTCCCCCAGTAAATGGGTCTAGAAGTGTCAGTGTCTCCTGGCATTCATAACGTTTAATGATTACAGACTTATTAACCATATTTTCATTCAAATTTTACTACAGAATTCCTCACATTTATATTTTAGCAGCTGTGCTTTATCCTCAGATCAGGTTTGGTTTAACAGTTTAGCCAGTACTTGAATTGGAATAAAAAAGGTGCCAGTACTCTAAATCAGCAACTGTTTCAAGTCAATTTATTTACACAGCCCAAAAACAAGTATTTGGCTCAAAGTCATAGTATATCCTATAATGCTGGTGGGTTTGTCTCTTTACTGTATATTCTAGAAAGGCTCACTGTGCGTAAACAAAATGACTCAGGGTGCATCTGAGATTAGAGGGGGTGCAGTGGTAAAGTGCTATTTTTATAAGTGGGGAGTGGACCTGACACCCTCTATGGGGGTCCGGGGGCATGCTCCCCCGGGAAGATTTTTTTTTTAAATATTGAATTAAGATGCATCAATCTGGTGCACTTTGAGAGCAAAATGAAGAGATATATGGATACCTCTCAACATCCATTTGAAACAACTGTAAACAGATTTACTTTTTCTTTATGAATAAAGCCTGACTCCTACTGGCGGCTGGTTAAATGACTCCTCGTCCCTGAGAACACTCACCATCTTTCAGCAGGAAAGGAGAGAGGGAATCCTTGTCCGGCGATAACCGCTGTCTTTTCGCACTATTATTAAGCCACGCTAACATTTTGTGATGTCCTTTCTGCTCTAGTCTATCGCTGCGGCGCGTCATAGATGCGCTGGGCATATTTGTTGTCATGTGACAATCAGTGCCGGACTGGAACAATAAGTCAGGCCGGGAATTAAACACCCAGCCAGGCCACTACCAGTTTGTTGTGCCATTTTGCTGGATTTATTTGTCAATATTTACAGTGTTTCTGCCCATAGTGATAGCCCTAAACTTTAAATCTACTACCCCAGAATAAACATAATGGACATGGGTTACTATTTAAAAAAAATTGCAAATCTATTTAGGAACCTATCCATGTGAACATATTTTAAGTGGGGGTGGACCTCAAATCCTATAGGGAGGTCCGGGGGCATGCTCCCCCTGTAAGATTTCTTTTTAAATGTTGGACTTAAATGCATCAATCTGGTGCATTTTGAGGGGGAAATAAAGAGAGAGACTACACCCATATGAAACAGAACTGTAAACATTTAAATAATCATAAAATCATAAGAACATGGCCATAATCAATAACATACCATATCCAATATGAAAAAACATTGAAACTTGTTTATTTATTTGTTTTTGGTTCATTTATAGTTGTGAGTGTGTCTGGGCTCCTGAACCAGCGTCTCCCTCCTCCCCCCTGCTCCTCTTTGAGGCAGCAGCAAAGACTAGTTTTAGCTCTCAACAAGTTTATCTTACCTTTTTTCACCTAGTTAACGTTTTTTATTATTATTCATGCATATTTTACTAAACACTACCCCCTCAAATGGAAATATGTGTTTACATAAATGGTGACCGAACCGTTTGAGACCCACTGAGAACTTAGACTAAGTTAACTATCTAAACACTCAGAGAGTAATTTACCTCACCTGAGCTGTAGTTATCAGCCTCTCAGTCTGACAGCAGAGGACTCTCCTCCACCTTGTTGTTGAAACAGCTCCTTATATCCATTTGCGCAGCTAGCTAGCACCAGATGCTAACAACAATACACGTAACCGGTGCGCACGCTTTCTCGCTCGCTCGCGCCACACATACACTGACGGCCCCTACACGTGCGTTGTCGCTTGCCGGCAGGGGGGGGGGGTGTGCGTTGCCGCTTCACCGCTTCTGCCCATTCACTTTGAATGGGGTGACGTCACGATTCGCTGAACTGCATTGTGGGAGCAAAGCGTAGCTTCTCTCGCGGTGCTCGCTGCAAAAGTAGAGCAATGTTCTACTTTTGACGCCTCGATGGAGGCGTCAGCCAATCGAATCATATGCCAGTACAAGCTCTAGCCAATCAAACCGCGTGCTTGTGTGTCTGGGGCGGGAGATTCATGTGATTTGTTGTTGGTCGAGTTTCAGCCCCCCCCTCGCCGGCAAGCGACAACGCACGCCGCCGTGTGTAGGGGCCGTAACTTACACCCTCCCGAGCTTGAATGACACACAGAGACCAATCGAGGGCATTAGTATGATCTGTATGAAAGTGGCCATGTCGGCAGGCCACATCATGGAGACAGCCAGTCACCCTCTGTGAGGCAGAGGCAGACCCACATTTGCGCAGCGTTGCGTTCACAATACATACGTATAAAAAAAAATCCTCAGGCCACTTGACAGGCCAGGCCATCGGGAAACCTCCCGGTCCTCCCGATGGCAAGTCCGGGCCGTCATGACGTGCCGCTTGCGGCTGAATACCGGCATTTTACTGAGTACCGACACCTTGCCGGTACTCAGTAAGAAGTACTGCGTACCGGTGAGTACCGGCCCAATTCAAGCACTGAGTTTAGCATCAGTTTCTCAGCATTCACACCGCAATGTCTTCAGGTATTGAATTCTCTAGTTATTGATTATTATTCTGGGCTGACTGCAGGGAAACAAATACAAAGGGTTTTCTTTATTTTGAAGAGATATGGCATGTAAAAAAAACAATGTCAGCTAAACAATGAGAGCCTTGTTTAACAGTAGAATGATGAATTTAAAGTAGACTTGAATTAAAGGTATTATATCAACAGATTTCACATAACTGTATTAGGTTAGTTGAAAGCAATATATATATAATACACTGAAGTCGTTTGCAGTCCCAGTTTTCAGTCCACATTGCAAACCTTAAAAAGAAAGACAGACGTTTTTTAATGCAGTTTCAACTTGAAAAGCCGGTTTTATGATAATCATAATATTAATTTGTTAAAATGTTCTTGAAGCGATTCCATTATTTTTTATTAGTTTGAGCATTGTAGGACATTTGACCTTTTTTAAATATGTTATTTGATTCTTTTGGTGGTTATTCACATTCTTACATTCAGCAGTTTCGGGCCTCTGGTTACTGATTGGTGGATATTGATCTGGTAATTGATCTCTGCTCTCTGACAGTTCAGAGGTCAGGAGTCGTTATCTGACGGACCAGCAGTGCTCTCCGTTTAATCACAAATATCTGCAGTGGTCTCACAAAGGGTTCCTGTTTAAACCGGATTAGACCAGAGTTTAACTTTAAATGTGCTGCACAATACTTTAAACTGAAGTTAAATATTAACCTTTAAAACATGAATTCAGTTTTTAACCTTAATGTTATTTCATTCTGTTGCTCGTTGCATCGACTTTCTTTAATGTCAGTCTACTTTTATGTTATGACGTGAAGTCATGTGACCGTGCAGTAGTTCCTTTATAGAGTGGTGAAGTCAGGTCCATCTACTTCCGGTCCATGGGACCTTATTTCGGAAAAATTATGTATTGAAGTCAATGGAGAGAGAAAACGTATCTTTCGATCCCGTTTGAATTGTGCCATGAATTACACATATGATGTTTGTCAATCTTAAAAAATAATTTCTCGTAAAACTGTTGAAATATAAGACGATGAAAAATATGCAACTAGAAAGACTACAAATCCCAGAGTCGCGTAAGTGATAGTGACAATTGTTTTCCTCCACTAAGAGATAGCTAAGATAAGATAACTTTAACAAGATGCCTGTGTGCTTAGTACCAGGTTGTTATCATACCAGCAATGGGTCTTGCTCGTTCTTTCGCTTCCCGTCTGATGAAAGGACCAGGAGTGGCTGGATCAAGTTAGCTACCTAGCTAGTAGCTAGCACGTTAGTTAGCATTACAGCCTTGTAATTTGTATTAGCGTTAATATGAAGTAACATTAAGTAACCCAAAATGTTAAACGGTAAGAGTAGTAGTCATATTTCGTGAACCCTTTGAAGAGTACTGTCACCGGTGTGATCATTCTATAATACACAATTTAAGCCCGAGGGAGAAATGCTAACGCTAGCAGAGTAGATGTAGCTTTTTTTTCTACTTCATGCTATCTTCACAAATGGTTGACATTAAACATTAAAAAGACCAGGCAGTTCAGAGAGAATCAAAGGCAGGCAGGCAGCTTTGCATGATATTTTTCTGGATGTGTTTCATTGTGGTGATAGTGAGGGTAGTCAATCGTTTTGTTGACAAGACAGTAGTGACGGCCATCTTGGTGACGTGTGTTGTTCTGCGAGAACAGAGATGTAGTTCATTCAGCGTTTCACACAAACAATGTGTTACTTCACACTTTTACGACACATTTTATTATTTTTGACTTGCAAAATTATCTTTTAAATTGACAAACATCATATGTGTAATTCGTGGCACAATTCAAACGGGATCGAAAGATAATATTTCTCTCTCCATTGACTTCAGTACATCATCTTTTCGAAATAAGGTCCAATGGAGCTCCCCCGGAAGAGGAGGGACTTTGCCTCTCTATAGCCTAGCATTAGCCACCTTTAGCTTAGTGGTGGTGACGTGAACTCATGTGACCGTGCTGTAGTTCCTTTATAGCCCAACATTAGCCACCTTTAGCTTAGCGGTGGTGACGTGAAGTCATGTGACTGTGCTGTAGTTCCTTTTATAGCCCAACATTAGCCTCCTTTAGCTTAGCGGTGTTGACGTGAAGTCATGTGACTGTGCTGTAGTTCCTTTATAGCCCAACATTAGCCTCCTTTAGCTTAGCGGTGGTGACGTGAAGTCATGTGACCGTGCTGTATTTCCTTTATAGCCCAACATTAGCCTCCTTTAGCTTAGCGGTGGTGACGTGAAGTCATGTGATCGTGCTGTAGTTCCTTTATAGCCCAACATTAGCCACCTTTAGCTGAGTGGTGGTGACGTGAAGTCATGTGACCGTGCTGTAGTTCCTTTATAGCCCAACATTAGCCTCCTTTAGCTTAGCGGTGGTGACGTGAAGTCATGTGACCGTGCTGTAGTTCCTTTATAGCCCAACATTATCCACCTTTAGCTTAGCTGTGGTGACGTGAAGTCATGTGACCGTGCTGTAGTTCCTTTATAGCCCAACATTAGCCACCTTTAGCTTAGCGGTGGTGACATGAAGTCATGTGACCGTGCTTTAGTTCCTTTATAGCCCAACATTATCAATCAATCAATCAATGTTTATTTATATAGCCCAATATCACAAATGTTACATTTGTCTCAGTGGACTTCACAGTTTGTACAAAATATCAGTATGACAATACGACACCCTCTGTCCTTAGACCCTCTGTCCTTAGACCCTCACATCGTACAAGGAAAAACTTCCAAAGAAAACCCACAGTTTTAAAGGGAAAAATGGGAGAAACCTCAGGGAGAGCAACAGAGGAGGGATCCCTCTCCCAGGACGGACAGACGTGCAATAGATGCCGTGTGTAAATTGAAAAGATAATACATTTGAAACATAGGTAGTCCAAATGTTTGGAAATGCATGTGTGTATAATAGGAAGATGAATCCACGAGGATATCCATCCAGGACCTATGATCCAGGACCACAGCCACGACTCAAGATCCAGGGCTCGCGATCCAGGACACAGGACCGCAGGATCATGCATGACTCCGGATCCCAGCGTATATAGACACCAAAAAGAAAGACATTTGGGGAAGCTGGGTTAATCGGTGGTGACGTGAACTCATGTGACCGTGCTGTAGTTCCTTTATAGCCCAACATTAGCCTCCTTTAGCTTAGCGGTGGTGATGTGAAGTCATGTGACCGTGCTGTAGTTCCTTTATAGCCCAACATTAGCCACCTTTAGCTTAGCAGTGGTGACGTGAAGTCATGTGACCGTGCTGTAGTTCCTTTATAGCCCAACATTAGCCTCCTTTAGCTTAGCGGTGGTGATGTGAAGTCATGTGACCGTGCTGTAGTTCCTTTATAGCCCAACATTAGCTACCTTTAGCTTAGGCCTTTATTTTGTACTTACTTACTAAAATGTGTTGTATGTATTATATAGGGGAGGGATGAAATCCTCTAATGGTCACACATGCAGAGCACACAGCACACACAGTAAAATGTGTTCTCTGCTTTTAACCCATCCTAGTACAGGAGTCTAGTGCTAGGAGCAGTGGGCAGCTATTGTACAGCGCCTGGGGAGCAATGGGAGTGAGGGGGGAAGGGGGTTGTCCGGGGCCTTGCTCAAGGGCACCACGGCAGGGCAGGAGGTGAACTGGGACCTCTCCAAGTAGCAGTCCACACTGCATATTTAGGTCTGGTCGGGGACTTCAACCGGCGACCCTACGGCTCTCAGTCCAAGCCCCTACTGACTGAGCCACTGCCGGATTATATATCTAATATATATCTATTATATATATATATTATAGATTATATATTGATGTTGCATCGTTTGACGAGCCTGGTACTTCAGTTGTGTACTCTGCAGCTACTGTGCGTATGCCGATAATGCGTCTGAAGCGTTTGAATCATTAAAACGCCCCCTCCTGTGTTTCCGCAGTGATTACGGCCTGTGCTACCTGTCTCTGCGCACCAGCATCGGGCTCTGGACGGCCTTCCTCTGCCTGCTGTTGGTCGCCACCGACGCCAGCTCCATGGTCTGCTACATCACCCGCTTCACCGAGGAGGCCTTCGCTTCCCTCATCTGCATCATCTTCATCTACGAGGCTCTGCAGAAGCTGGTGCACCTCGGGAAGCAGTTTCCCATCAACATGCACAACCAGCTGGACAACCTCACCTTATACACGTGAGGACGGACTAACACGCGTAATATGACTTGTTTCTGCCTCCAGGGGTCTCACAATCAAAGCTGAATTACCCGCAGAGGTCTTTTCCTCTGTGGAGCAGACATGGTGATTAAAACCAGTACAAAACACGGAATGAAGTCGTTTCAAGTAGAAAATCTCTGTTTTTTCAATGCAATTTGGTTGTGCATAGGATTGATTGATCTGCAAACCTACAGCTAAAGCTCGGCTTGCTCGTCTGATAACTTAAGATCAGGATGTTCAAGGGGGTTTAACTTGAAGCTAGGGTTAGGTTAGGGTTAACGTTTGCTCAGCTTGTTTCTCTGATAATTTAGTGTTTTTTTACCATGAGCCAAACATCCTCATAAATCTCCTCAACTAAAAAGCAAACGGACACTTTGATTAAAAGCGTTGACAACACAGAATAAAGCAGTTTGATGTTAGAAATCTGTGTCTTTACAATGCTATTTGGTGAACATAGCGTGGAGTGGCAGCTTGTTTCTCTATCAGAATCCAGTACGCTTAATTTGAACCTGGTCCTGTTGCAGGTGCCGCTGCTCTCCTCCTGCCAACGCCTCCACAGACACCCTGCATCAGTGGAGCAACACAAACGCTACCTCAAACATCCGCTGGGACGAGCTGACGGTGAAGGTAGGACATCAAATATGTATATTATAGATAACATATAGATTATCTTCTTTCAGGCTGGTGAACTCTGTCTGTTTGTGTCTGTCGATCTCTCCTAAATCACATACAGTCTCACTTGCTCCTTACAGTGCATGTGTTTATCCCTCTGCAGGACTGCAAAGAGTTCGGGGGGGTGTTTGAGGGCTCGGCTTGTGGCCCCCTCGGCCCCTACGTCCCCGACGTCCTCTTCTGGTCCGTCATCCTCTTCTTCACCACCTTCTTCCTCTCCTCCTTCCTCAAACAGTTCAAGACCAAACAGTACTTCCCGACCAAGGTACGAAAACACGGAGGAGTTTCTGACGTTTCACGACGCAGATATAAAAACACAAATGTTCCACATGAAGAAACATCTTCAGCAACACGTGCAGCGTTTAGAGGACATTCAGCAACTTGAGGAGACATTCTGCAAGAAGCTCAAACACAACGGAGACCAGCTGTGTGCGTCACTCTTTAGTGTCCCCTGGTCTCCCAGCTGTGTGTGTCACTCTTTAGTGTCCCCTGGTCTCCCAGCTGTGTGCGTCACTCTTTATTGTCCCCTGGTCTCCCAGCTGTGTGCGTCACTCTTTATTGTCCCCTGGTCTCCCAGCTGTGTGTGTCACTCTTTAATGTCCCCTGGTCTCCCAGCTGTGTGCGTCACTCTTTATTGTCCCCTGGTCTCCCAGCTGTGTGCGTCACTCTTTATTGTCCCCTGGTCTCCCAGCTGTGTGCGTCACTCTTTAGTGTCCCCTGGTCTCCCAGCTGTGTGCGTCACTCTTTAGTGTCCCCTGGTCTCCCAGCTGTGTGCGTCACTCTTTAGTGTCCCCTGGTCTCCCAGCTGTGTGCGTCACTCTTTAGTGTCCCCTAGTCTCCCAGGTGTGTGCGCCACTCTTTAGTGTCCCCTAGTCTCCCAGCTGTGTGCGTCACTCTTTAGTGTCCCCTGGTCTCCCAGCTGTGTGCGTCACTCTTTAGTGTCCCCTAGTCTCCCAGGTATGTGCGTCACTCTTTAATGTCCCCTGGTCTCCCAGCTGTGTGCGTCACTCTTTAGTGTCCCCTGGTCTCCCAGCTGTGTGCGTCACTCTTTAGTGTCCCCTGGTCTCCCAGCTGTGTGCGTCACTCTTTAGTGTCCCCTGGTCTCCCAGCTGTGTGCGTCACTCTTTATTGTCCCCTGGTCTCCCAGCTGTGTGCGTCACTCTTTATTGTCCCCTGGTCTCCCAGCTGTGTGCGTCACTCTTTAGTGTCCCCTGGTCTCCCAGCTGTGTGCGTCACTCTTTAGTGTCCCCTGGTCTCCCAGCTGTGTGCGTCACTCTTTAGTGTCCCCTAGTCTCCCAGGTGTGTGCGCCACTCTTTAGTGTCCCCTAGTCTCCCAGCTGTGTGCGTCACTCTTTAGTGTCCCCTGGTCTCCCAGCTGTGTGCGTCACTCTTTAGTGTCCCCTAGTCTCCCAGGTATGTGCGTCACTCTTTAGTGTCCCCTGGTCTCCCAGCTGTGTGCGTCACTCTTTAGTGTCCCCTGGTCTCCCAGCTGTGTGCGTCACTCTTTAGTGTCCCCTGGTCTCCCAGCTGTGTGCGTCACTCTTTAGTGTCCCCTGGTCTCCCAGCTGTGTGCGTCACTCTTTAGTGTCCCCTGGTCTCCCAGCTGTGTGCGTCACTCTTTATTGTCCCCTGGTCTCCCAGCTGTGTGCGTCACTCTTTATTGTCCCCTGGTCTCCCAGCTGTGTGCGTCACTCTTTAGTGTCCCCTGGTCTCCCAGCTGTGTGCGTCACTCTTTAGTGTCCCCTGGTCTCCCAGCTGTGTGCGTCACTCTTTAGTGTCCCCTAGTCTCCCAGGTGTGTGCGCCACTCTTTAGTGTCCCCTGGTCTCCCAGCTGTGTGCGTCACTCTTTAGTGTCCCCTGGTCTCCCAGCTGTGTGCGTCACTCTTTAGTGTCCCCTGGTCTCCCAGCTGTGTGCGTCACTCTTTAGTGTCCCCTGGTCTCACAGCTGTGTGCGACACTCTTTAGTGTCCCCTGGTCTCCGTTGTGTTTGAGCTTCTTCAGCGTTTGGTTTCTGCAGCTTTTAGTAAACGCTGCCATGTCTCCTCAAGTTGCTGAATGTTTTCTTTAGCTTAGGAAAATGCACACAAGAAAATATTTGGATTGATGAATGATTTCATGTTTTTATTTTATTTTACCTAGACGGGTTTTTTTGTAAGAAATCATATATAAAAATAAACTGTCTTAATCGTTCAAACTCAAATGAAAAATACGCATTTTTCTTAATATATTTACATTTTAAAAACCTAACATTTGTAAATTAATTCTTCAGTTATCTCTGCACTAAAAATATAATTTAAGAATTACAAAAATCGTGCAAGAAAAGCTAAATTTTGAGAGTTTGATTGGAACTTATTTTATAAACGTATCAATAATAATCTGAGCCGATATAAAACAAAGTGTGTGTTGTGTTCAGGTGCGCTCCACCATCAGTGACTTCGCCGTGTTCCTCACCATCACCATCATGGTGCTGCTGGACTACCTGGTGGGGGTTCCTTCTCCAAAGCTGCACGTTCCCGACCGCTTCCAGGTGAGCAGCGACTCACCTGAGCGCTAAAAGGGTTCAGGGGCCTCATTTATAAAGGGATATACGCTCAAAAGATGGCGTACGCCAGTTTCTACGCAATGTTTGCGATTTATAAAATACTAACTTGACGGGAAAACGTGCGGTCCTCCACGCAAACTCTAACCCATGCGTACGCACTAAGCACAACAACAGGAGAGACGAGAAACTGCGACACCGTTGGCAGAAGGAAGAATGGAGAGAAATATGTGGAAAGAATACCATCAATAAAATGTTACCTCTCATTTATCATATATGAAGAATTCATTTTCAAACATTGATTAAAGCCAATCTTAAAATGATTTAACAAACGCCTGTTTGAGACTCCTCAGTGCACACAAACACATCACTTGGAGAAATAAATAAATACGGATATGTTATTTAAAACCACCTGGAATATGTTGTGTTAATGTTATGAAATGTTTTCTCATAAATAATGCGGTAAGCAGGAGGACAGAATTACGTCTAAACTGACGCCGTTTTGCATTTCTATAGGTTGTAGATACGAGCATGGTTTTATATACTATCACATTTAATCGTGTTTTATGCCGTTTGCTAAGACTTGATAAGTCGCTCGTAAAACACAGGAGGTATGGAAGCTAAGAACACCATATGTGGTAAATTGTACAGCTAATATAACACAACACATTAGTTGTATTTCCTTTAACTGGTGGATATAGAGTTGCCTGCGGGGGGGGGGGTTGAGATGCACAGGCTGCAGTGGAGACGCACACACACCTTACACAGCTGGTCGACAGCTGGAACACAAACCACCAAATACAAAAACATAATTCAGATCCAGTCGTCATGACTCCACTCCGGAGGGATTCCCCGATCACTTCTTACAGTCTCTCATCAAGGGGGGGTCTCCTGTCCCCGGTACAAACACACTGCCTGAGGAAGGCTATGTGTATGTTTTTGTCATGAACCTTTTTCGGACCACTTATTTATTTATGTTGGTCAAACTGCATCCACCAAACAATATGATTTATCTCCACCTCCCCAAAATAACCAGAATCTGACACGGTGTGAGACGTCTGTTTTAGCTGTTCTGTCGTCATTTCCTGCGATCTTCTTCATGCAGTCAGAATGAATGAATGGGCGTTTCTTTGACTATTTATAGGCAAATATAGGCGTTACGTGAAGCCCGCAAAAGCTGCGCCGCATTTCGAGTCGGTTGTGATTTATAAAGGGAAACCGGCGTAGGAAGTGCTGTACGCACTTTCCTCGCCGGTACGCAATGTTTGGTGAATCGGAAAATGTCGGAACATTTCTGTAACTATTTTTTGGATTTCTACTACGTAAGCAACCTTCCCACGTGAATCCTACGCACGGCGTTATAAATGAGGCCCCTGATCTCATCTCTGAAAGGAGCGTGGACGCTGCTCCGCCTTTCCCTTCATGGAGATGAAGTGACAGAAGAAGAAAAGGGGGCACCAATCATTTAAATATCGGTAGAATTACTTTCCAGTGCATGCTTCATATTTCAGATTGTTTTTAGTGATTCCCCTTTTTATTTAATACAAAAATAAATATATTTTTTGTATTTCTTACATTTAATTTATTTATTATTAATTCCATTTGTTTTATTGTTAACAGTCACAAGATTTCCATTTTATTTGAATTAAATCATAATTCTTTATTGTTTTGATGCAAGACAACAAACAATTATATTTTGCTCTGATTGGTTAGCAGGCCGGCTCTGTTGTGATTGGTCAACCGTTTAGAGATGTCCCGCCCCTTAGCCTCACGTACAGCGAGTTGGATAGCTAGCCAATAGTCACTATGTTTTCGAAGTAAACACATAAGAATAGGGATCTCTGTATTAAGACCTCAATAAAAGCTTTACATGTCTTAGAAATAGACCTTTATCCCAGGATCTACATTTAAAGGACTGAAATATAGTATCAAAGAAATCACATTTATTTCTAGATATTACATAGTTTTTCCTGGAGCTGTTGGCTCAGTGTGGAAACAGGTCAGAGATCAGAGGAGTGTTTTCACTGTCAGAGTACAGCACGCTGTGTACCTCTGTAAGCACACATTGTGTACGTGTGTACATTACACAGTGGGCTTTGTGTGTTTTTTGGGGTCTTGTGTTCCTACAGAGTTCAACAAAGTAGAGCATCGACCTCCAGCTGCAGGATGGGAAATGTTTTCAAAGAGAGATTAGATGCTGAAACATGAATATTTAAAATGTAATATATAAAATGTTTAATGTCAGGAACAAAAAACAGACAACTATTATTTTTTGATGTAACTTGATGTTGGTACACAATGTTTTACACAAACTATTTGTTTACTGAAGGATATCAAATGATTCCTTTAAGGCAGGGGTGTCAAACTCAAGGCCCGGGGGCCAAATCCGGCCCGCGACTTCATTTTATGTGGCCCGCAAGAGCTTGCAAAGAATATAATACGTTTATTATACGGTTACATGCCACTTTACAGTAAATCTATATATGTTCATTTTAATTAATTTCTTATTTTATAGTTATTTATTTATCTTTTTTTTTATCTTTGATTTATCCTTAATCGTATTAATCTGTGTGAATCTGTGCTGTCCTGTTTTTCAATCTCACCCTGTTGCTGTTAAACAACTGCCTTTCCCCACGGGGATTAATAAAGGTCCATCTTATCTTATCTTACGGGTTTATGGGCATGTTGCCCATAAACTACATGTCCCACAATGCATCTCATGTGACATGCACACTGAAGAGACTTTCAATTGTTTGCCTATAGACTTCTGCTTTCAGACGTAGTTAATTATGAAATTATTACCCTATCCAATAATAGTCCAATGCAGAGGCAATAATATAATACATTATTTCATATATATTATGTATTTACATATGTATATTTATATAGTTACAACCGGCCCTTTGAGTGCAACCATAATGGTAATGTGGCCCACGATGAAATTTAGTTTGACAGCCCTGCTTTAAGGGAAGGAAACACTGATTACAGTTACCAAATGTGGATTAATCCGCCGCTGAAAATAGTCCCAAATAAATCCACTCTTACATTACACTCACACAACATTCAGTTTTGTCTTTTTACTTCAGTTATATTTCATTTATGGTCACATTTTGAGGTTAAAGGTTGGGGACCGAGGATGTAGAGCACCCAATGTGGATTAATCCGCCGCTGAAAATAGTCCCTCACAAATGCACCATTTCTTGATAAAAAACCTCACTTAGACATTGTTTTAGAAAGTTACTGAGGCTTTTTCGAACATTACGTACATATTGGCGTTTGAAAAGAGTCACAACAGGAGGTCTACCTGTCATGTGCAAAAATGTCATAATAAAGTGTTTTTATTTTAGTTTAAACGCCTCTGTTTTCCTTATTTTCTAAGCCCACGTCGAGCTCCCGCGGCTGGCTGATCTCTCCTCTGGGGACCAACCCGTGGTGGACGCTGCTGGCGGCGGCGGTTCCCGCGCTGCTCTGCACGATCCTCATCTTCATGGACCAACAGATCACCGCCGTCATCGTCAACAGGAAGGAGAACAAGCTGAAGGTCAGGCACTCAGAACCACAACCAGCAATATGCAACACTGATGATGCTGTGTAGTGTTTCTCTGTAACTTCTTAGATTTGTATAACATTTTTATTAATATTAATAAAAAGTGACGCACATAGCTGGGAGACCAGGGGACACTAAAGAGTGACGCACACAGCTGGGAGACCAGGGGACACTAAAGAGTGACGCACACAGGTGGGAAACCAGGGGACACTAAAGAGTGACGCACACAGCTGGGAGACCAGGGGACACTAAAGAGTGACGCACACAGCTGGGAGACCAGGGGACACTAAAGAGTGACGCACACAGCTGGAGACCAGGGGACACTAAAGAGTGACGCACACAGCTGGGAGACCAGGGGACACTAAAGAGTGACGCACACAGCTGGGAGACCAGGGGACACTAAAGAGTGACGCACACAGCTGGGAGACCAGGGGACACTAAAGAGTGACGCACACAGCTGGAGACCAGGGGACACTAAAGAGTGACGCACACAGCTGGGAGACCAGGGGACACTAAAGAGTGACGCACACAGCTGGGAGACCAGGGGACACTAAAGAGTGACGCACACAGCTGGAGACCAGGGGACACTATAGAGTGACGCACACAGCTGGGAGACCAGGGGACACTAAAGAGTGACGCACACAGCTGGGAGATATTAAAAAGTGCAGCGTTTGGTTTCTGCAGCTTTTAGTAAACGCTGCGCATGTCTCCTCAAGTTGCTGAAGATGTTTCTTCATGTGGAAAATGTTGGTTTTTATATCTGCATCAGCGATGTGCAGTCAGGGGAGTCATAATCCAATGTAACGAAAAAAAACAAAAGAAAAAAACAATAATAATAAAATGTCTCCACTGATGGGGGCAGGGACGAGATCTGCCTCACGTAAGCCCACAGTAACTGGCTGGAGCGCGGGCACTAATGTAGCGCGGGCACTTATTTTGTGAGCGCGCTCCAGCCAGTTACTGTGTGGTGAGGTGAGGCACAGATGAGCTCTGCCTCACCTCAGAATGCGTCACCCCACAGAAACTGTCTGGAAAGCGGGCCCTAAGCGCATGCCTGCACCATCTCACTGTAGGTCACCAATGTAATGTTTGTAGATCCCTTTATTACATTTATCCTCGCCATCCATAGTCTCTAAATAACTCATTTCACGTATATATGATATTTAGGCTCGCTGGTCTCATCATACAATGGCAATGAAAAAAGCACCAGGGGAGGCAGCCATAACCTCTGCCGCACTGAAGGGGGCGCAAGTGAGCCCACAGGTTCTTGTTGCTACTGTTATTCTACGCAGGGACGGTAGACGCAAACAACAAACTAGACTTTTGAAACTACAAGAACATAAGGAGGACTTTTACAAAGAAGTAATAGAGATTGTTGTCCAGAAGGATAGCATGGACTTCATCTTCAAGTCAAGGTAAGACCACATTGTAATGAACATGGGATCTTACTAAGAGAGAACAATCCAATATTTAAATGAAACTACATTTTTTTGGGTTTCCTTTTGTTGAACGGTCTGTTTAAAATGAATCGAAACATCAGACTAAAAAAGCTTTTGAAAATAACATAATATTTGTAAATCTGACTCCTTTCTGAATCTGCAGCTTCTCCTAATGAAAGAGTTTAGGACGGTTGTATCGTATTGGCACCTTTCGGCCACCGTTCATTTTATTTGATAGTTTTTTTCTTTCATTGTACTTAAACTTCTTAAATTTAAATTGAGTAATGATGTGGTTCCTGTGTGTGGGCTGCAGAAGGGCTGTGGCTATCACCTGGACCTGCTCATCGTGGCGGTGATGCTGGGCGTCTGCTCCATCATGGGCCTGCCGTGGTTCGTGGCGGCGACCGTGCTCTCCATCTCGCACGTCAACAGTCTGAAGCTGGAGTCGGGCTGCGCGGCGCCCGGAGAGCAGCCCAAGTTCCTAGGCATCAAAGAGCAGCGCGTCACCGGGTTCATGATCTTCTTCCTGATGGGCTGCTCCGTCTTCATGACCTCCGCCCTCAAGGTGAGATAACGGCCTCAGGTGGAGTGTGTGGGAGAGAAACTCCCTCTGGAGGAAACACAGGGATTTAAGCCTTTGCAGACCATTTACATGCACTAACACCTATAGAACACGCAGTCTAGTTCCCTGTAGTATCAGCGTGTGGTTACAGTCTAGTTCCCTGTAGTATCAGCGTGTGGTTACAGTCTAGTTCCCTGTAGTATCAGCGTGTGGTTACAGTCTAGTTCCCTGTAGTATCAGCTTGCGTTTACAGTCTAGTTCCCTGTAGTATCAGCGTGTGGTTACAGTCTAGTTCCCTGTAGTATCAGCTTGCGTTTACAGTCTAGTTCCCTGTAGTATCAGCATGTGTTTACAGTCTAGTTCCCTGTAGTATCAGCTTGTGGTTACAGTCTAGTTCCCTGTAGTATCAGCTTGTTTTACAGTCTAGTTCCCTGTAGTATCAGCGTGTGTTTACAGTCTAGTTCCCTGTAGTATCAGCTTGTGGTTACAGTCTAGTTCCCTGTAGTATCAGCGTGTGTTTACAGTCTAGTTCCTGTAGTATCAGCTTGTGTTTACAGTCTAGTTCCCTGTAGTATCAGCGTGTGTTTACAGTCTAGTTCCCTGTAGTATCAGCTTGTGTTT